GAAGAGCTCGATGAAAAAGTAGGTTTGAAATGGCTCTGCCAGGTTAGAGCTCTAGATGAAGGAAGTGGATTGCTTTGGAATGGTGATGGCTCGTATAGCACTGCTCAGGAGCTGGTGTGTGATGTGCTGCTCATGCAAAGGCACTTCCTGCCTTTGATTTCTCTTTTCTTTGCCTGTTAGACTCCAAGACTTGACGATCAGAGATCTAGAGAAACAGGAAAGGGAAAAATCGGCCAACAGCTTGGAGTCATTCATCTTTGAGACCCAGGTAAGAGAGAGATATAAAGAAATGAGAATTCCAGGAGAGCAAGTAGAAGTGTCTTGCACAGTTTGTGGCTCCTCTGAGTGCAGGAATGTTATTTGAGCTGGGGGAAGCTGATTTGAAGAGCCTGGCTTTCATCTTTCAGTCACTCTTTTTGATGCTGTTAGGCTTCTCAGGCCCACGTTTCCTCAATACAAAATGAACCTTCCCTTCAGTGTGTGTAACACATTGTACTTTGGGTTTCCAGTATCCCTTATATGCACTTACCTGTATGCTTTAGAACAATTGCCCCCAGGCTTTAAAGAAGCTACAGCTTCTCAGGAACTGTTGTGCAAAAGAAGCAACTAGTGTTAAGTGCATGTGAAATTATGGCTGTTGCAGCATCACCATCATTTACCTGGGCTGTGCATGTGTCTACACCTGGTGTATTCTCATCATGCTCCTGGCTGTGGGAGGGTGCAGGCAGCACCCCAACCCAGTTGCAAGTGAGTGCTCTGTTTGTTTTATGCTTCCAGGCTCAGTGGTGTTTAACAGAAGTGTTTGCTCTGGTCTTTTCAGGACAAGCTTTACCAAGAGGAATATCAGTTTGTCTCAACAGAGGAGCAGAGAGAAGAAATTTCCAAAAAGCTTAATGAGGCTTCCAGTTGGATGGAGGAGGAGGGCTATGCAGCTGCAACAAAGGTATTGCTGTGTGCAGTCAGGATACCAGTCTGCTCTCACTGACATGGAAATGATCACACAGGCTGTCAGAGCCTTTGTAATCTCGTTCTTGAGAGTGTCTTGCATTATGCACAGAACAAAATACGAAGTTGATTCCACTTAAAGCTTTGTTGTGTGGCTCTTTTTACTGCACTAAAATGGTGTATTTGATAGAGCAAACAATAAATGCAGTTTTAACTTCTGTAGTCATCAATGTTAGACAATGGTCAAACTGTGTCTCCTTTCTCCTGTCCCCCATTTGCAGGAGCTGAAAGACAAGCTTTTGGAGCTGAAAAAGCTTTGTAGGAACCTTTTCTTCCGTGTCGAGGAAAGGAGAAAGTGGCCAGAACGCCTGGCTGCCCTAGAAAGTCTGCTCAACCACTCAACCATCTTTCTCAAGTAAGAGCAGGCTGTTGGGAGGGAATGTCGTGCAGCTGGTCATGTAAGAGCTGCCAACAGAACAAGACCAGAGTGAATGTGGTCTGAAAGTCACTGGCACTTGCTGAGAAAAGATGAGCAGAGCTCTGCTCCCTACACCCAAGTCTGTAGGACCCTTGAACAGGCACACGTGAGCTCTGTCCAAACTGGGGGGGCAGGAAGGTTCCAGTGCTGCTTGCACCCCATGGTGGTTATTATGCTGTTGTATTACTTGAGCTGTAACCACAGAGTTGCCAAAGTGCAGTCTGCTTGGCTTAACAAAAATAAGCTTTCTTCTTGTCTACAGGGGAGCCCGAATGATTCCAGAGGCTGACCAGATATTCACAGAAGTGGAACTGAGTACACTGGAAAAAGCCATCAATGAAACAACGGTACTAAAGGATAGAGTGATGCTGGGGGAGGGTGGGGTGGCAGCTTGGGTTGTGTTTCCTCCCTGTCCTTTCACTGAAGGTCACGGAGTAGAGTGTGCATATTTTGTTTTTGTGCCACCAGCAAACCTTTTGTGTGTTTGAGTGTTTCCTAATGCCCAGCCTCACACCAGCATGTCCGGAGGGTATAGTGGTTCCTGTGTTCCATTTGGAGTTGTCTCCGGGGTGGTGGTAGAGCCCAGTGATCTGACTGTGGTTTTTAAAGGCAGCAGCTGGGTTTTGTTTCTCTTTGTCCTGTGTCTGAGTAAGAGGTTGTGTAGCAGGGAGCAGAGCTGTCCTGAGTAAGATAGAAACACTAGAGACAGTGACTTTGAGATACTGTGATATACAGCAGTTCCTGTAACCCAGATGCATTCCAAAAGCACCTCTTCCCTCACGTCCCACAGATATGGAAAAATGAGACGCTGGCTGAACAGAACAAGCTCTCTCCTACTGAGAAACCTGTGCTGCTGTCCAAAGATATAGAGCTCAAGATAGCAGCCCTTGACAGGGAAGTGCAGTATCTCCTGAATAAGGCCAAGTTTGCAAAACCCAAACCCAAAAGGGAGAAAAACACCACAAAAACCGATTCAGCCAAGAATGCTACAGCAGCCCCTGAGAATGAGAACACTATCCCTCCCACGGAGGGGAAACAAGAAGGTAAGGAGCAGGTGGGGAGTGTGTATATAACTTTTAGTATATAATTGCCACTTGTAACACACTTGTGTCTCTCTGCCTTGAGTGAAAAGGAGCTAAAGAAGGGAGGACAATAGTTAACTGTGGAATTTAATTACCTTCCTCTTAATTTTCAAAGACAGTTGGGAAAATCTACATATGGCAGCATCCTTTTCCCCCTACCATTTGAGGTTTTTTGTGAGGAAACAGTATATATATATTCCCACGATGGTTAGTCAGTATCTGTCTCGCTGGTTGCCTTCTAGGAAAGATAAGCCATTGACTGCACTCTGGTGTGCAGAGGGAAGTACTCAAGGTCTGGTCCTAGATCAAGGAATAGAATGAGCTGTTGATGAGAAAGATTTGTGACCTAGATAGACCCCAGAAAAAAAAAATATCTTGAGACACTAGGACTTGCAGTTTTCTGAACTTTATAAAATCCTAAGGTCCCGAGTCCCCTGGTCCTTTTAAATCTGGAGTGCTGTTTGTCAGCAGAGTTCCTGCTGGTTCCTCTGACCTGAGCGAGGGATCCTGCTTATAGTTACAGTTCCAAAGGTAACTTGCCTGTACAACCAGTCAGTCTTCAGGGCTTCCAAGGAGTGCCTGGCACTCAGAGGCAGTGGGGAATAAGGAGCAGTTTTATGATGCTTCTCTGAGTTTTATAGAGCAATCTGCTGTGAGAGTGAACTATTACAGTCCTGCTGAGGCACCACAGATGGCTGGTTTAACCTTGCTTCTACTCACCTGATCTCCCTGCACCTTGTCTCCTGTGTTTTCTCCCTTGACTTTTATTTCTTTCTGCTTTAAATGTAGACAAACTGGAGGATATTGGTCCAGCCAAGGAACCTCCTACAGCCGAGAAAGCAGCAATAGATGCTGAGCCTGGATCAGACTCTGGTGGGTAAATGTTTGACTAATGATCTGTAACTTGGGAGCTGCAAGTGCAAGCTGTCTGTGGGCTGCTGTGCAGATTTTTAGCTGCAGGAGGTAGTACAAGGGTAGAACCCCTGACTGCAGATACATTGTTAATTCTGCAAACAGGAAGACAGATTCTGGTTCTTTGCCATTCCTGCATTTTTGTTGTTAAGAATGAAGTTGTAATGCACAGCTGCCTCAGCAGCTGCTCTGTGCCCGTGCCCCTGCCCCTGCAGTTTGCAGCCAGTCCTGTGGCTGTAGGACTGGCTCTGCTCGAGAGCTGCCATGCCGGCACGATCTGGTTCTGCCACTCCCATCCCCAGGGCAGCCTGTTAAGAGGTGCAGTTCACGAGTGTCAGTCCCCAAAGCATCCCTGACCTCTGTACCATGGACTGAGAGTTTGGTGGAAAACTTTGTGAATGTCAGGGACTCTTGGCACTGCTTTGCATGCTGTGAAAAACACTGCAGTGTGTAACTGAGTTTGCTTCCTTACACAGGGTCCAAAAATGAGAAGACACAAGCTGGAGGAGAAAGCAGGAAAAATGATGAGTTGTAACACCCTGAAATCTCACGAATGTCAGCATCTATTTATTTCATTGTTACTTTCTTGTTTTTCTCATGGACCTGGTTAGTCATGATGTAAATGGAACACAACAAGAGTCTGACAACACAATGGGATAGAGGTGTAAATTTATTTTTTTGTTCTTTCTGGGGATTTTGCCGCTACTAACTTAGTGAATTGGGTTTTATTTTTCTTTTCTTATGTGTGGCAGAGTGCCCACCAAGAATCAACTGTTTCAGTACAGAAGTCACCAAAGTGACTTTTCTGTGGGGAGAAAGAGGTAAAGAAACAACTTAAGCTTTAGGAAATAACTTGGAACATAAACTGCCCATCTCTGGTGAAGATGATCGCAGGAGGATATAGAGCTGAGGTGCCCTTGTCTTTGCATATGAGGCTCTGACTTACAGCAAGTATGTGATTTCAGCTGGTGGGAAGTGTATTATTGTTTGGATTCTTAGGAAGGCTGAACAGAACTGGGGAGGCAGATGATCCATGCTTTGAGATACGGCTGTGTCTGTTTTCCAGAGGTTGTTTGTTAAAACCATCTGTCCGTGCTCTGTAGTAGAGTCCAAAAACCATGACATGAGACTTGACAAAAAGATTCTGTTTATAGTTTAAGAAGTTCAGAAAAGGCAACACTGAATGCTGAGGAGAGGGAAAGAAGGGCTGTGTTGGCACACCCTGTAGTCACAGGGATGGCGATACGGACCAAAGGGTAGGCAAAACCAAACCTGGAAAATCTAATGGCAACTGCCCTCCTTCCTTGGCATCTTGTGCACTCAGACCAGCTTCATCGTGACCCTCCCTGTCCTGGCCGTGGCCTCCTGCCCCCCCTCGGACCGTCGCTGCTGCTGCCACACAGACGAATGGGGTCCGACGGCCGCGAATGTGCATCTGACGTTGTTCAACGTTTGGGCCTCTTCAACCAAAAATAAAAACTACAGTTCCTGAGAGGCTCTGCCGAGCGGTGCCGTCTGTGCCGGGAGCTGCGGGCGGGGCGGGGCGGGACTTCCGCGGGGCGGGGCGGGGCCGGTCCGTGCCAAGGTCCGCGCTCCGGTCCGTGCCCGCGGGGAGCGCGGCGCGATGGCGGCCGGCGGCTACGGGCGGTACCGGACCGTGATCTTCGCGGCCATGTTCGTGGGGTACACGCTGTACTACTTCAACCGCAAAACCTTCTCGTTCGTCATGCCCGCTGTCATGGACGAGGTGCCGCTGGGGAAGGACGATCTGGGTGAGTGCCGGTCCCGGCCCCCGCCGCCCCGCCGGCCCCGGGGGGCCGTGCCGCGGGCTGAGGCGCCCCCCGGGCTCTGCCCGCCGTAGGTCTCATCACCAGCAGCCAGTCCGCAGCCTACGCCATCAGCAAGTTCATCAGCGGCGTCCTCTCGGACCAGATGAGCGCCCGCTGGCTCTTCTCCTCCGGTCTCCTCATGGTGGGCTTGGTCAACGTGGTCTTCTCCTGGAGTTCCACCGTCACGGCCTTCGCCGGGCTCTGGTTCCTCAACGGCCTGGCCCAGGGGCTGGGCTGGCCACCCTGCGGGAAGATCCTGAGGAAGGTGAGTGTGGGGAAAGGGAGGGGGAAACTTGTCTCTGCTCTCCTGACCTGTCCTGGCAGCAGGGCTGTGCAGGCCATGTTTGCTCTGAATCCAGAGGAACTTGCACCTCTTCCTGCTCCCTTCTAGCCAAGGAGGTCAGAAGTACTGTCTGTACTTTCTGCTGCCTGTGGAACAAGTTTCTGTGCGCAGGGACCTGCTTATTATAGCAGAGATTCGGTCTGTAGCCCCTGCCCATATGTGCCTCGAGTCTGATTCTGTTTGGTGAGTAACATCCTCTGGTAGCAGAGTTCTGCCCTGTAGAGATGGACTTTGTTGGAGTTAAATATTTTAAGCGTGGACACAGAGGACTGCTCATCTGCTGCTGCGATGGTTTGCTGCAGGGGAGGGGGCAGTGAGCAGAGTTCCATTTGCACGCTCGGGCAACTCAGGAATTCCAAACTGCAGGCTGTTCAGGTATAAAACCAGGTAACGTGGAGGAACAGTGTGAGGTGACTCTCTAAGCTCTGCGTACTTGGGCTTTGTGACAGACTTAAGGGAACAGATAGGAAAGGAGGAAGGAAACAGAAGGAAAGGAGGTTGGTTAGCTTTGTGCTGATCCCTCATGGAAGATATAAAATCCAGGAGTGCATGTACTGCACATACTTGCGGAATGGGGTGGGGCAGAGATGAACAACTGCCTTGCCCTTCTGCCAGGCACCCAGCCTCACCTAAGGGATGAGAAAAGGGCTGTTCAAGATGGTTGCATGCACGGAAAAGAAGGTCCCTAATAACAGAAACATCAGCCATGGTGTTTCCTGAAGACATTCACGAATGTAGCTCTCAGACATTTTCCTGCTGACAAGAATGACCCAGGTGGTTCTGGCTCCTAGTACTTGTTGCAACGCAGAGCCCATTATGCCTGATACTTAATGCAACAGCGAGTCCTAAAGTTACCCCGTGACTCTCTGTATATCCATCCATGGTCCGCAGCCAGCAGACCTCTCCAGGACTACACAGTTCCTAGCAAAGTGAGTACGCAGAACCACGTGCTCTTAAATTTACCTCTCCTGGCCCACGTCTCAGTTTCATGATCTGTAAATGGAAGTGACTCTGAGCTGGCTCACAGTGTGAGCACCTGTCAGGCTCTTATGCTGACACTTGAGTAATGTTTGGAGTTCCCTGCATGACTAAAGTAGTGAAGTGTGGGTGCTCCCTCTACCTGCTTTTGTAGATCAGTGTCTGAATTGCTCCAACCCCAAAGCATGGACCTCAAGGGAGGATTTTCAGGTGTGCTGTCACTCTCTTACACCTCACGCTGTTTTTCTTCTTGTTGCACAGTGGTTTGAGCCTTCTCAGTTTGGGACTTGGTGGGCAATCCTGTCTGCAAGCATGAACTTGGCTGGAGGCTTAGGCCCCATTGTCGCTGCTCTCGTGTCTATGAACTACAATTGGCGCATGACTTTGTCCTCCTCTGGCTTCACCTGCGTGGTTGTCTCTTTTGTTTGCCTTGTCCTGATTAAAAACGAACCGTCGGACGTTGGGCTGCCCAACATTGAACAAGGAGCCAAGAAAGGGAAGAAAGGTGAGCATGTGACTTCACGTGTGACGGGCAGCCATGGGAAAAGGTGCGGTGTCTTCTGTCTGTTCTGGCACAGGTGTGTGGCTCTCGGTGTACAGAGATCCCCATCCTTCCCAGTTCCTGAAATCACAGCTTGGCAGTCATGCGTTAAGGGGTTGATTTTTGGAAGTTTTATTCTCGTAACTGTTGAGCTGCTGCGTTGAACTTACAAATTGTATAAACCAAGGGCCAGTGTGATCCTGTGGGAAGGGAATGGTGTGAGGGCTCCTGAGACTGTTGCAGAGCAGGCAAAGAGCCTGATCTCTCTTAGCCCTGCTCCTCAGCCTGCCAGCAGCTGCCTGTGTGTCACTGAGAAGCTCATGGCTGGCTCTCCCCCTGTGAGTCATGTCTTCCTGCTGCCAGTGCCCTGGTTTTCTTGGGGCCTTGTGCACTCAGATTGTGAGTGCAGTCTTACTGGAGTGCTAGAGAGAGGAAAACACAACAGCAGGGAATGCTTCCTTAAGCCTGACCTTCTGCTCATCTGCATTGGCAGGGGGCAGGTGATTCTCCCCTCACCCCGCCATGGGTTCTCTTGACCCCTGGCTCACAGTGGACTCTGCTCAGTGTTTCTGTCCTAACTTAGGACATCTAGTTAGTAAATGTTTGCTCAGATCACTGAGTGTGGTGATTCTCTGAAAGCAGAACAGGTAGAGGGGAATTGCAACACAAGATTGCTGTTGTATTTTAAAGGCCAATGGAAACTCAGCTTATGTGCCACACTGCCCCATGATGCCTGTGCTGCCAGACTTGACCCTTTTGCATAAGAAAAGAATATTGCTTCCCTGGAGTGTTCTCTGGAGAGAGCAGGTTTGTTGATGTTCTGGAAGACTGATGCAAAAATCAAGGTAGCACCTGAAAGTCAGCATCTTTTTTTGGGTCTGTGCAGTGGCTTTCACAGGCACAGCTTAAAAACTCTCCCAGAGAATCTGGAGAAGCTGATAAATTTTCTAACAACCTTCGTAAGGGGTTTATTGGCAACCACAATACAGAAAATTCCTGGGAGTTGTGTTTTAATTATTCTTTTCAAATCTTTAATGAATGTGGCATAAAATGACAGAAAAGATTCTGAAATCACCAGAACAAGGGGAGGTAAAGCAGCAACTGTGAATATCTCCCTGACTGGGGATGTTCTCGTGCATGGATCTTGCCTGCAGATCTGTCTGTGTGGTTCAGCAACTGTGCTCGAGCTGTGGTAATGCTCCTCCTGACCTTCCTGCAGGTTCCTCCAGTGACAACAGCACCTTGACAGAGCTGCTGCTCTCGCCGTACCTGTGGGTGCTCTCGACAGGCTACCTGGTCGTTTTTGGAGTCAAAACGTGCTGTACTGACTGGGGACAGCTCTTCCTGATCCAGGAGAGGGGACAGTCCATGCTTGTGGGTAAGATGCAAAGCTGAATTTTGCTGCTGTCTGGGAGGTGTTGCCCAGAGCTTGCCTGGGTACAGGAGAAGGACAGATGCCTCTCCACCTGAGGGACTTGTTTGCCTACTTTCTAGTTGTCTGCTTAGATACACGCAGGTGTTTAAATAACTCAGTGATGTAGTTACTGTGTGCACAAAGACCCCCGTGCCAGGACCCTCCTGGGATGGCAGACAGACATTCCTGAACAAGGATGAGCCAGAGGGTCGTGTCCAATAGAGCTGCTCGAGCTCACTGTGAGCTGACAACAGTGGGGCTAGTCTGATGTCCACAGCAGCTTTGCTGTTTATATCAAACCTGATGGGCTGTTCTTTACTTCACCTGTATTCTAGGCAGTTCCTACATGAGTGCCTTGGAGATTGGGGGCCTGGTGGGAAGCATTGCTGCTGGATACCTTTCTGACAGAGCAGTAGCAAGAGTAAGTAATGTGCACCTTCAGGTGTGCTGGGCAGGTAACACAGCATCAATCTGAGCTGCTTCACTAAGGGGCTCGGGCAGGGTGGCATCCCTGTGGGTACGACTGAGAAACAGGCCCATACCCAGTTCTGCCGTGTGCATGGCGTGCTGCTGATGTGCCATCTGTGTTTCTGACTGGACTGTATGGATGTTGTTAGTCACTACAAGTATAAAAGGAAGGAGGTCCCTCCAATTTCTCACTCTCAGCTTTCCTTCCTGTGTTGCAGGTGGGTCTGTCAAGCTACGGGAATCCTCGGCATGCACTGCTGCTTTCCATGATGGCTGGGATGTGTGTGTCCATGTTTCTCTTTCGGGTCACGGTCACAGGCAACTCTCCCAAGGTAATCCACGTGCAGCAGCTGGCCATCAGCTGTAGGGATAGCCCTTGAACGGGGAGGTTTGATGAGAGGGAACCTGACTGTTTTCTTCACCCTTCCTAAGGGTTTCTTTGTTTGTGCTACAGAGAAGCGCTGACTTGGGCTGCTCCTGCTTGGCGTGGGCAGCCTGCCTTACCAGCTGTTTTTGCATCTTCCCTCATGATTGCTAACTTCTTTTCTCCTTTCCTTTTTTATTTCTTCTTCAGGAAACCCACTTCTGGACTGTAGCCTTGCAGCCTCTAGCTGATCTTACAGGCCTAAAAGAACATGAGGTTTCTGCTTGCATTTTTTCTCCCTCTACCTGTTTCTTCTTTCCCTGGTCTGCCTTGCTCCTATCCTGGGAGGTTGGTTAGCACCTCAGACAGAACTTAGAACCAGGGCCCTGAGAAGAGATTACTGTAAGTTTGGTAAAAGAAACCTTTTCTTAAAATAATTTGATTACGCTGACTTTAAAAGTCTAAATATAAATCTTTAAAGTTCTTATAAAGAAGATTCTGAGGACTTCTGTTTGTTAGGTAAAATATAGCCACTTAAGGGGTCTTGTGGGTGAGATCAGGAAGAATGATTCTGCTCTGGCAGATGTATTCCTGCTTAGTTTCTGGCAAGTGTTTTCCTAATTTGTCATTTCTGTTTTATATCTGGAAGATGAGATGGCACTTACTTCCTTCTGGGATTTTTTAAATGGTTTTTACAGTTCAAAAAGCATACTGTAATGTAGGGGTGTTACTTATCCTTTGTTGTGCAAACAAGAGACTGATAATTTTGGGCCAAGTAGGTTTCTTAGAGCATAAGCTAACACTGAAGTTCAGACTGTTGGGCTGTTTTTGGCTTTTTTGGTTCTCAGTTTAGTAGCATAGAGGTAATCAGAGAGAGGTGTCTCACAAATAAAGATGCTCTGATTAGTAGCATGCATCTAAACTGAGAAAAGCTGTCAGTTGGTGTATCTAGGATTATTTATGAAAGCAACCTGATTCACAGCTCTCTCCTGTGCTTTCACGGGGTCATTGCCTGTCTCTGATATTCTGTTTCCTTCTTGCAAATCAGCACAGGATGTGTTACACGGTGTGGGGGGCAGAGCTGTGGGAGGGAGGAGAGCTTGCACTGGCCACAGACGGAGTGGTGGAGATGCAGCTGGGCTGCGTGTATGTGGGGTCTGTACAGGCTTGAGCTCTTTTGGCTGCAGGCCAGGGAGCTGGTGTCAGTCCAAACATGTCAGAACTCCCTGGTACCGTGTGTGGGATCTGAGAACTGTCAGCAGCTGCTGGCTGACAGTGGTGAGGTGCACAGATCCTGTTTCTTATCTTAACTTATTTTGACAGCTGTGGATCCTGACTCTGGGAGCAGTGTTTGGGTTCTGCTCATATGGGCCGATTGCCCTGTTTGGGGTCATAGCCAACGAAAGTGCCCCTGCCAACCTGTGCGGCACCTCCCATGCCATAGTGGCCCTCATGGCCAACGGTGAGTTACACCCATTTCCCCGAGAAACAAACAAAACCCTTGCACGTTCTTGGTGATGCATAGTCTAGCCCCTGGTTGCCAAGTTACTGATCATGGGAGGTCACCTAAGGTGCAGAGATAATGGAGCTGGAAGCCCCAGGGATGCTTCCTGCTGTGCCCAACAGGTTTTGCGTTGGGCTTTAAGTTCAAACCAGGCCTTAGGAATGTTTGTACATGCAAAAGCAAGTATTGGCAGATAAAATTGGTGCACACAAGCATTGCTAGCTTTCTGTTTGTTTTTCCTTGCAGTTGGGGGTTTCCTGGCTGGATTGCCATTCAGTACAATTGCTAAGCACTACAGCTGGGCCACAGCCTTCTGGGTAGCCGAAATCACCTGTATTTGTAGCACAGTGGCTTTCTTCTTCCTGCGGAACATCCGCACCAAGATGGGCCGGATTCCCAAGAAGGCTGACTGAGGATAAGCTGCTCGGTGAAAAGGATGTTCCCACGCTGATGCGAACGATGCTCATTTTTTGTTTAACTAGCCTAGGAGTGAGTTTACCTATTGCTGCAACCTAGATAAAAATGTCTCAGCTTCTCAACCACTGTCAGGTGCCTGAGGGCACAAGGTTCCTGCTACTGATCACTTTTTCCCTTGAGATGTGATAATTCATCTAGTTTACATTTGCAATGATTTTACTGTACCTCTTTCTCACAGCACTGCTGATGAAGCGAGCAGGCTCTGCAGCCTGAGCTTCCCCACTACAAATGGTCTGAAATGACCGGCTTCAGGTGCGCTTACCTTTAGTTTTGTCGTTACTGTTTGTCTCAGCCATGAACTGAGACATTAATCAGTTCAGCTTCGCTGCTCAGGGGCCCCTGAACTGAGCCTTTGCCACCTGTGTCCACCCGGTCCAGCTGCCGTAAGCGCAGCTGTCCCAGGTCACTTGGCGTGAGCTCCGTGTGCACTCGGCCCCAGGACAGTGGCAGAGCAGGGAATTGTGACAACTGCAGTCCAGCCTCGTGGCTGCTCTGACAGCAGTGAGGCTTTAGCTGTACCGGGGAGTAGCTGTTAGGAGCAAGCGAGTGTTGCTGTGGAGAAGCGAATGGTGGGATGTGTTATGGCAGGGCTCTCCACAGCACTTAGGAACAGGCACGTTTCCAGGGAATTCGTGGCATTTAAAGAAGCTCCTTCTAGTGAACTGCTTCTGCCCGGTGTGATGTCTGTGTTCAATGTTAATGATTTGCAGGGGAGGCAGCTGCTGCCAAGTCAGCTCGTAGCGAGTGCTCTGCAAATCAGCCAGGAAAACTGCCCCAGCTGCAGGAATTGCGACAGTAGCCACCGCCAACACACAATTTCTGCAGCTGGGTTTTGTGATAACCTCTATTTGTAGCATTGGCTTTTTTTTTTTCAGTACAAGGTGTGTAGTCTAGGGTGGTTTTGGTCAAGAGCTGCATCTCTCTTGGCAGCAGGCGGTGGCTTACGTTGCCTCCAAGTCAACTGTAGCAGAGCCACTGTGGACAGCCTTGAGCAGTCAGACCCAGCACTCTGCAATAAGTACACTCAGGTTTTTAAATGAGAGTTTGTTGTGTATTCTTGTTTTTCCCCAAAAGGATTTACTGCTTTAGGGTCCTGAAAGAGGCAAGTTCAACTTGTGAAGAACCTGCATACAGGTACTTTGCTGAACAGCTTGGTTGCAAGAGTAGTTAGTCAGCCTTAATTAAAACAATGGAAGTAAATTAAATTTTGTACTTAATTATATGATCTTCTATCTGTGAAATAAAAGTGGAGCAGTGTCACAAGGGCCCCGGTTTTCTTAAGCAAAACCACCAAAACTCATTTATCCTCTTGAGGTGCCACTGGCACAAATGTACCCGCCAACAGAAAGCAAACAGCCATTCATTCACCTCTTTAATGAACACTTATTCTGTACAGAAACTCTCTGCAAGACCATAAGTTAGAGCTATACAGGAAAAATACATATGTACAATTATGACAGGAAAGAAAACCACTGAGTTTGGTAAGGCCATGGACCAGCATCCTCCTTCATCCGAGTGCAGTGGAGCTGCAACAGCAGAATAAGCCCTTGTGGCCCAATGTAAACAGTGCTAAGAAATCTGTTTAAGGTAAGTTTCACAACAAAGGTGATAAAATGGTATCCTGGGAGATAATGAAGCATGTTTTGGGGATGTGCAGTCTCTGCTGTGGAGGGGAGAGCTCTGTGAGAGGCCAGCCAGGGAAGAGAGAGGCCCCACTCTTCAAGAGTAAGGAGTCTGAGCAACAGGCAAGGCTTTCTCTATGATCCAGGTCCGAAAGGTCCAGCTTTCTCTGCCACCTCCAGAGCAAGTTTCAAGTTCTGATCAAACAACTCACACCTGAAACAGTCAGAAAAGCAAAAGGGATGACTTTACCTATGGACCAAGCTAAGAAAGATAAGATCTCCACATCCTTTGGCTCTGCATCCTTCAAGGAGAGATCTGGGAAGTTGTGACACAACTCACTGTTGCTGAACTTTGGCTCGGTCCTTAATTAAGATTAAAGCTCTTTCTATAGGCCTGAGTGTTAAGTTAGGACAGCAGGGTGAGTGCCAAGGAAGTGTACCTCCCACTTCCCTAGCACAACAGCGCCGGAAAGAGCTCAGGTCAGCGTCCTGTCCCTGCAGCAGTGTGCTGTGGCTTCCCCTTCCCTCAGCCTTTGGGTCTGCTTTGCTACTTCACTTAAGGGCTGTCTGCATTTGTTACTGCCCAGGCAGAAAGCAATGAGGGGTTGCAGCCGGGTTACTAAAAGTGGGCTTTTCCTTACCTGATTGGCATCTCCAGGGAGTAGAAAGGATTCTTCAAAGCGAAGTCAGAGTAAATCTCATAGATTTTGCGGAGAAGAGCATCTATCCCCGTCTGTCTCGGGTCAGCAAGAACCATGAATTTGATCCCTAGAGCCATAATGCCAGGAACATAAGGAAGGCCGAGCACAGTGACAGCCCTGGCACAGCAGAGTGGTGCTGGGTGCCTGGGGCCGGACTGTACCTGTCAGCGTCTGGAAGCAGTGCAGTTTGAAGGTGTCAGTCTCGAGCATCTCGATCCCGGAGCTCCCAACCTCGGGGGACAGCTGCGATCCGATGGCGAACAGCCTGTGGGCACAGGACCTTCAGCGCCCCTCACCACCCCTGCCCGTGGCATCCTCGTCCCCTCACGGCCCATCCTGACTCACGAGTGGAACATGGAGGCCAGCATGAGCTTCTCGTTGGAAGAGAGGCGGTGGCGGCCGAAGCGGATGGACACCGGGTAGTTGGCGGGGTTGCCCAGGAACTCCAGCACGTCCTTCCCGTCCGCCGTGAAGCGCCCGTTGACCTCGGCGCCGTTGATGGCGAGTACGGCGTGACCCACTGCGGGGACAGCGCGGGGGCATCGGTCAGTCTGTCAGACACTCAGTCAATCTGTCACTCACTCGCTCACTCACTCAGCCCGGCCTGGCCGGCCCTCCCCACCCGCCGCACCGCGGATGCCGTCGCGCTGCCCGAAGGCGACGACGACGCGCTCGTCGTGCGGGCGCAGGACGAGGTCGAGCGGGAAGCTGAACGTCTTCTCGGTGTCGGCGCGGGGCGCGTAGTGGTCCAGCTGGTAGATAAGGCCGCCCGCCTTGTTCACCACGTAGACGCTGAAGATCGCCATGGCCCTGCCCCGGCAGTGGCACCGCCCGCCCCGGCAGTGACGCGCGGCCCGCCCGGGGCCCGCCCACGCCGCACGCCGGGCCCTTCCTTTCTCGCCGACATCTTGCGGAGCAGCCGTGCCCGCACCATGGTGAGCGGGGCCGGGCCGGGGCGCGGGCGGTGGGACGGGCCGGGACCCCTCGAGCGGCGCCGGCGGCTCCCTGAGCAGGGCGGGAACCCGTGCGGGGCTTCTCGGGGGGCGGCCCCGCGCCCCGACGCTCACCCCCCGCCATTCTCCCCTCCTCGCAGCCGCCCAAAGACGACAAGAAGAAGAAGGACGCGGGCAAGTCCGCCAAGAAGGACAAGGACCCGGTCAATAAGTCCGGCGGCAAAGCCAAGAAGAAGGTGGGAGCCGGCGGGGCCGAGGGCTCGGGGAGCGGGCGGGGCCGCGGGCCTGCCGCGGGCGGCGTGGCCGGGCCTTGAGCGCGGGTGATGGCCGGACGGGGGCATCGTGTTGTTAGAGGTGCAATCTCTTCATCTGCCAACGAGTGGGACATAACGGTGTTAAAACCGAGTAGCAGAAGGCTGTAGTCCTTTTATTTGCAGATACTGTAGGTATTATTTGCAACATTTTCGTTTAAAAAACATTTCGTTTACAAAGGCCATTTTGTGCATCTCATTAGTAGTTTAATATGATATGGAAACATTTGATGGTGCAGTTCTTGGGGCATCCTTAAACTCGATCTTTTGTTCTTGTTTAGAAGATGGCTTATGGGGCATTGTTCTCTTTCTCTTTTCAAGTAGAAGTGGTCTAAGGGGAAAGTCAGAGACAAGTTGAACAACCTTGTCCTCTTTGACAAGGCCACTTACGACAAACTGTGCAAAGAAGTGCCCAACTACAAGCTCATCACACCTGCAGTTGTCTCAGAGAGGCTCAAGATTCGAGGCTCCTTGGCTCGGGCTGCCCTCCAGGAGCTGCTCAGCAAAGGTGAGCACTCAAAACTGGAAAAACAGAAAGCTGCTTCTGCAGACTCGGCTATTTTCTTTTCCTTGCTCATTTAGCAGGTTTCCTACAGCATCTGAACTGCTCCATGTGCAAATTGACATGGTTTTGGGGAGCCACTGTCTTAGCTTGTGTTTCAGAAGTGCTCCAAAGTATGGAGCAGCAGTTCTGCTGCATGCAGTGGCATTGCTGTACTAAGAAAGTGCTCCCAGAAGGACAGGCTGTGACGTAACTGCTGCCAGATCAGAATGAAAGCCTCGTATAAGCTGCTACGCTCTGGTATTTCATCTTGCACGTTGTACTGCCTCTCTAGGAGGGAGCACAATGTCCTTGGCATGTGTCAGTATATGCATGCTCACATAATTTCCTTCTTTTTCGTAGGTTTGATCAAACTGGTTTCCAAGCACCGCGCCCAAGTGATCTACACCCGAAACACGAAAGGTGGAGATGCGCCTGCTGCAGGGGAGGATGCATAGGGAGGTGAGGCTGGGCGCTGAGGAGGAGCTGAGTTGTGCTATCAGAGCTAGCAGACAGAGCTGGGTCGTGCTGTCCGAGCTAACAGATGGCTACGTGCTGTGTAGGGGGCAGCTCTTGCGTGGCTGGGGTGGGCTGTTCTTCCAGACACTCGAGAGTATATTGTTTGCATTCTGAGTGACGTTCTGGGGGGCGTTACTGGAAACATCGGTTCTCCAGAATTAAAGAGCAACTGGTGATTCTGTCCCTGTGCCCATCGGATGAGGGAATGTGAGCTGCAGGGCAGTGGATACATGTCCTCCCTGCTATTGCAGGGCACCACGGCCAAGTGTTCCTGCTGGAACAAAGCTCTCAGACTGTTTGCATTGTGCTACCCTGCTTTGACCTGGTTTTCTGATTTGGGACTTCTTGCTTTGCAGGTTCTCCAGTGACCTTATCAACAAGGGGTCATATGTAGATGCACGTAATAAAATTACTGATATAATTTTTCTTGCTTTTCCAAGAATGTGTATGTTTCGTTACTGATGCATTATTAATAGTGGATTCTGGTACCAGTCATGGCTGTCGTCCTCTACCAGCCAGTTTTTGCCTTTACACAGAGTTACAAGTGTACTGTGAACGTGCTTTTATATTGCAAAAAGGGAAGGAACTTTTGCATCACCTACAGCAGCCAATCGTATTAAACCACGTGAAACAAAGAATGTTAGAATTAAGGAAAGCAGTATAAATTGGAATGAAAACATCTGGCACCTGGCATTAGTTGCCTGCAGAGCAAACCCTGCATTTGAAATGAGTTTCAATTGGTCTACAAACACAGGGACATTTTAAAAAAAAACTTTATTTCTCAAAAAATTCGTTAATGGGATGTCATGCTCCATGTCAGCGTAGGCCACTGGCAGCACTTGTTGTATAAAACAGGCTTTCTGATAATGAAGATACAGCATCTGCAGTAGCCTGTCCTTACTGGCAGGACATGTAACAGTACTGAGGTCACCTTGCCTTCAGGGGACCAAGCACAGCTACCTACAGTCCAGCTTTCCACAACAGAGCTGCATCTTTGGTGTTTTTCATCTGATCACCTTTTCTTCTTTTCCCCTGATTCAGTTCTAAACTGGTGCCTGAAAGAGAGCATAGAAGTCAGATTGCAGCAGCCTTTAGAGAGAGAGAGAGAATGAACACTGCCTCAAACAAGTAAGACAGTGCTGTGCACAGTGTTTTAGCATGGGAGTTCACTCAGTATTTTTATTACGTCAGTGGGCAGTAGCAGGCTCTCCAAGTAGCTGACACAGTTCTGGCACATTAAAAGTTGCCAGTGGAACAGTACCTGGGTCTGAAAGGTGAGCCAAGCAAAATGAGGCAGGTGCCTTCACGTGTGCAGCCTCTACAGCCATGACCATGCTTCACCTTGCAAGCCACCCCTTTGGTGCTTCAGGGCAAGAGTGACACTGCCTGGACTGAGCACTGCCTGACGTAACTCAAGCAACAAGACATCTTATGCTTGCTGCTACCACAGAGCCTGCTCCAGGAGTAGCTTGCATGGACAGAAACCACAAACCCTCCACTTGGCATCTACCTGTGTTGCTCTGAAGCTCACCTGGATTGCCACCTCCTGCCGTGATTCCAAACCCGCCCGAAGGAAGGAAGCCAGCTGTCGCTTGTCTGAGAGGTATGGTCAA